AAGCCTCTGGCCTGACTGTCATCCTAGATGACAGATGGCAGCCCTGTCCCTGTCCACCAAGATGCTGATGGGTACCATTTTAATATTATTGGTCACAAAAGGGATTTGACAAATGAGTGTATATCAACGAGAGGAAAAACATTCACTTTACTCCCAATAAACCATGTGAGATAAATGACTCTTTTGCTATTTCCATATAGAAGATGGCATATTGGAAAGAACTTAGACTTTCAGGCTGAAGGACTAAGGTTATGAGGCAACCTCCACCACTGACTAGAGGCCAGTTCATTTCCCCTCCTGATTTCCATTTTTCTCATCTATAAAATGAAAATAATGCATGATCCACAGAGTTTGGGCTCAACCGAAATAATAGATATGTCTGTATATATGTACATGCATACATGTATATAGGATCTAGTTCACTGGCTGACCCAGAGAAGCTCTAAGAATGACCACTAATTTAGTTATTGTAGTTGTTCTTATGCAAAGAATGTCATAGGGAATCAGAAAACCTTAGACCTGAAAGGATCAAGAGATTTTCTATTTCTACTCTGAGAAGCACAAAGCATCTCAGAAAGGGATTATCCAATCTCTGCTTCAGGAAATCATTCCCACTAATTAACAGTAATAATAACACCTAACATTGTTTGAGTACTATATGTTAAGTTTTTGTATTTAAGTCTCACTCTGAATATATGACATGAGCGCTATTATTATTATCACTCTGCTTTTTAATTGAGGAATTGAGGCTTAGGAAAGTTCCATCACTTGGCCAACATCACAATGCTGGCCTTGATCCATAAGGATCTCACTATCATTCTATGTTTATCATGGTAAGACTCCCAAGGTCAGTCTTGCTTCACACATAAGTCATTTTTCTCTTTTGTCTTTCTAAATAAAAACCAGGCAAATGGAACACACATAATGTCCAGGCATAAATAGCCCCTGCTGTTAGCAGAGCCACAAAAAAGTAAACATACCTAACTCGTCATTCTTCTGTTTTTCTGACCTCTTTTTACCTTAGCTCTGTCTCACCAAGCTAAAACAATTTTAAAAGTCTTGGTTTTTAAAGCTGGCTCTACTGTCTATGGGAGGATGTGCAGTAGAGCAACCTTTCTGAAAACTATCTTAAAGACATTCTGATCTAAGGTTCTACTTCATAACTCCACATGGTAAGGGGCTATAGTATATACCATATTCAATTAGGTTTTTCCAACATAGCTATAGTGGTGACACTGTTACTGGAGTAGCTATGAAAAGATGAATATGGAATTTGAGGGATGAGGTAAACTTGGCCCAAACTGCTTTTTTGCCTTAAAGATGGCAACCTCTTGTTGCTCAGCAGGACTTGATGGCAATCTCTTGTTGCTCAGCAGTCCTTGGTGGGTAGAGTCTGCTCACAGTGAATGTGGAAGTCAGAATAATTTGGAAGGAGGTAGTCATGTTAGTTTGAGGCTCTGTTGCTGGCACACAGTTCAGGTCTAGGCAGTGAAAGACTGGCAGCTATTTTATTGGCATCTTCTGTGTCTTCAGCTTCAGGGGTTCAGATCATCCACAGGGGTAGTCGTTTTCCTCCTTTTTTTAAAAAAAAAATATTTATTTATACATACGAGAGCTGGGGTGTAGGCTGAGTGTGGAGCAGAACAGGTGGACCTACTGAACTACACTGCTGAGGGGAGCAGCAGGCAAGACAAGAGAGGTCTGCAAGACAGGGATCAAACTTGTGCTGCAGTGGCTGCAGATAGCTTCATAGAGCTGAGGCTTAACCCCTTCTGCCACCAGGGAGGTCCTGGTTTTCCTCTTTAAATGGAAGAATGCCTGCACCACCAACATACTCATGCCAGGAATATGTACTCTATAATTATTTCAGATTATTGAATAGGATTAGATGAGGAAGGGAGGAAAATGTGAAGACAAAGAGATTGGTTTTACCAGCAGTGGCAACAAAAAAGGGATAATTTGGAGGTGACAGAGAAGGTTGTGATTCTTCAGGTCAGGTTACTAGTCATAAATGAGAGGTTTACTTCAAATGTGACAACCACATAGTAAGTCATGAATCCATAAATCGATGGATCCATTCACAAAAAGTTTATAGTGCTTATAACAGGGTGGGGATGATGAACTGTTTCATTTCCTCCTTTTTACTTATCCTTGTCTTATTCAGGTTTCTTAAAATGTACCTAAACATTATGCTTAGGTCTTTTGCATCTTGCAATTAACTCTGACCAAGTCTTTTTTTTTTCTCATGGAGAACTAACTGAAATATGCAGGTCAATTGAGCCTTAATGACTTTCTTGTTAAATCTATATGCTTAACTGGTTAAATCTATCTGCTTATTCCTATCAGATAGCTAGCCCAAAAGTAGCTTTCTCTGTTACTTTTCCACAGCCCTTGTTTTAGACGCATTTCTGCACTCTCCGAGACATCAGTTTGGAAAGGGAGATTTACACTAACAACCTCTTCAAATAGAAAACACCTGGTATTTCTTTCCTTATATGCAACTCCATGGATAATAATTTTTTATTAAATTTAGGGAGCTATTACAGATACAGCAATGTAAGAAAGGCTGTTTGAGAGCCCTAATTACTGGAGAATACCATTGATTTTGTCATTGAAATGTATCTAGCACAAACCTTGACTTTGGTATTTTTTTCCTTGTCTCATCTACTGGTTTTTGCCTTAGAGACGGAGTCACCCAGGGCTTGGTGCCAAATTTCTGTTGCTCAGCAGGATAAATAAGCTTGGGGGAGAATGTTGTGGGACATTAAAGAATGTTTAGTGTTTATTATTTCTGAATGTGCTGTTGTGTACAGAGCAATTACGCTATATCCTGCTGACACCTTTTTTGCTTGAATTTTGTCTCAGCTCTGATTTGCTTAGTGTTTATCTACACTAAGTCTCTCCCCCTCTTTCTCTCTCTTACTCTCACTCTCACTCTTGTTCTTTTGTAAATAAAATATTTGAAGAAAACAGAGGTGAAGAATGGGGAGGAGGAAGAAGATATCCAGAGCATTTTCTGTATGACTACTATAATTTGAGGAACAGATGTGGGGAAGATTCTCCATCTTTCCATTGAATCTAAATTTCAGGCTTGTCTCTACATAGTTTGGAACCCAAATGTTTTCTATTTTTTTTTTAAGATTTATTTACTTATGCATACAAGAGCTGGGGTTCAGGCCAGAGATGCTGGAAGTGAGAGGATTCACCAGAGACAGAGCGGGGAACAGAACAGGCAGACCGACTGAAACACACTGCTGAGGGGAGCAGCGGGAGAGATAAGAGAGGTCTGCTGTGCCATGTGGGTTTCTCTCTGGCAGGCTGGGAATGTGGATTGCTTCATAGTGCGGTGCTTAACCCCTTGCGCCACCAGGGAAGCCCTATTTTCCATTTTTAAAAAATAAAATCCCTAGTCAAATTAACAGCCACATTTAGCAGGGAACTAATAATCTAAGTCTTGACTTGATGAGACTCATAAGGCTGAAATAGTAAATGTGTCTATTTGCTTCCCCTTAGTTTTCCTTTTCTACATTATCATTCTTTCTCCAATGTGTTCCTACCTTCATCAAGACTGTCCTTGGAAGAAAATGACATTGGTCATTTATACCTTCATATGAATAGAGATTTCTGTATTAACATTTTGAGCATTTAAACCTCATCCTTCATTTTGTAGCAAAAGACAGTCCTCTGACAAAGCATTAGGAAAAGGTAAGAAGTATGAGTCAAGCCTGATAAAAGTTGATTAGCTCCTTCAAGACACTGTGTACGTAAAGGTGACATCTGTCAAAGGTTCCAAAGGAGCAAAGGGTAGGTTCAGTTCAGGTGTGGATAAGTGAGGAAAGGAAGTCTGTAATATATTCTCCTGAATTTCTTGAGATGAGGAATTACATATAAAAAAAAAGTCTTTAAGCTATGCTTTTTGATTATAAGCCAAGCGTTAGTGTAAGAATTAAAGGAAATATAAACCCATATGTGCAAAGGAGAGTTTCTGTGTCTTTTGTTTTTATACTGCACAGTGATAAACTCCATGAAGTTAAACATTTCTTTAACCTAGGTGAAGATATGTGTGTGTGTGTGTGTGTTAATGTTTTCCTTTCCCCCGACCTGCTGAGAAAGGAACTACATCAGAATTGGCCAGTTTTACTCTCAAGAGCAATGATTTTGGAGCCCCCCTGGTGGCGCAAGGGGTTAAGCACCACACTATGAAGAAGTCTGCAGCCTCTGCAGCACTAGTTTGATCCCAGGCCAGCCAGGGAGCAACCCACATGGCACAGCAGACCTCTCCTGACTCCCACTGCTCCCCTCAGCAGTGTATTCAGCCAGTGTGCCTGTTCTGTTCCCCACTCTGTCTCTGGTGAATCCTCTCAACCCCCTGCATCTCTGGCCTGTACCCCAGCTCTTGTATGTATAAATAAATAAATCTTAAAAAGAAAGAGTAATGATTTCAAGAAAAACAAACGATAGAGGCTAAACAAAGGAGAAGTGAAGGAGAGTGTGGGATGGGGGTGTGGGAAGAATAAGGGAAGGTTGAGAAGAAGATTTTAAAGCTAACTTGGGGTTGTATTCTAATGTCTTTTGAAAGAATTAAAGATTTTGATTGGTTTACCTTTGAATACAAAATAGTAATGAGCCATGATAAATCCTAAATATCAGTGCTTCACATGTGCATGCCTATATATACTTTATTTCATGAAATTTAAAATAAACGTAATCTATGATTACTGACTTTAAGATTTACCATTATTTTATAAACTTTACCAAAGAGTAAAACACTTTTAATGATTATTTTAATACATCATTAATTTATAAGATACATCTGGGTCACAGACATTACAATGTGGAAAAAAAATGTGTGTCTGTAAAAGAATATGAAAATATTAGAATGAAATATACCAAAATATCGAATAGCTATCATAGATGTTTGGCATTGAAAGCAGTTCTTTTTTTTCCTTTATGCTTTCACATATTTTCAAATTATGATACTCTGATCAAGAGTTACCCTTGTACTTACCTGACAGGGGAAACACCACGTTCACGAAGGTGATTTTCCCAGGGTGAAGCTCCTGCATTGCACTCTGGGCATATTGACCCCTGCGATTTCCCCAAAAGTGGGAAACTCGACTACATAATTTGTGGTAATGGGGGACTATGTTTGCGCTCTCTCCTGAAAATAAAAGAAAAAAAAGGAGTTACTCTTGTAATTAGAAGTGAAAATACGGTAAAGATGTTTTTTGCTGGGAATTCATAGGGAATGAAGCCCTTATCTTCTGGGAATTCATGGTGTCATTGGCAAAATCCAATGACAAAACTGCAATCACCATCAGATAATTCTGTTCCACAGTCTCACAAGAGTCTTTGAAATTATTATTACACTTTGTTCCTGGATTTCTCAGGATCTTATGCGTGTCACTGCCAATAAAATAAACATAACTTTACTTAGAATAAATTACTTGTGCCTCTTTAAATGTAGGTGTACCCAGTTTCAAAATGTAATAATGGATCAATTTCTAAATAGTGTAGGGTACAATTTCTTTTATTTTCTTTTTAAAGGTTTATTTATTTATTCATACAAGCACTGGGTACAGTCAGAAGAGTGGGAGGGTGAGAGAATTCACCAGAGCAAGAGTGGGGAACAGAACAGACAGACTGATGAAATATTCTGCTGAGGGGAGCAGCGGGCGCAGCAGGAGAGGTCTGCGCACCATATGGGACCCTTGCCTGTGGCCGGGGATCGAACTGGTGCTGCAGAGGCTGCAGGCATCTTCACAGCCCAGCGCTCAACTGCTGCGCCACCAGGGGAGGCCCAACAATTTCTTTTCAATGATCTGTAAAATGTTGAAGTCTCTTAGGCGTCTATCCTGATCATGATTCTTTAGTTCATCTGGTGACCCACTAGATTCAATGTTTGAAGATTCCCCCATGTAACCTAAAGGTTTAACTCCAACTCCATCCCAATAATGCACTTTTCAGGAAACTGGGATCAGGGGCTAAAGGGCACGTGTGCCATCTACCACATTCCCTTAGTCCAACATAAGAGAGAAATTTAACCAGGAAATAGTTTTCATGTTTGCTATGGTGATGGGGTTTTTAGCTTGCGCCAAGCTCTGTTTGCTGAGGATACAGATAAATTTCAATCAAAAGAGCCACCAATTGGGAGGTAGGAGACAAAGGGAGGAGGAGGATGGTGATGGTGTTTCTAAAAAACTTTCCCCCAAAGCATCATCTTTTAATGGTTTTTTAAAGACTATCATCAAAAAACCTTTAGAGAAAGCTATATGAAATATGCAATAAGACATTAAAGGTCAGACAGAGAGATATGAAATCAAAGGGTGGTAACTGTTTTATGTGCATGTTTTCCATCCAAAAGAGATGTCACTCCTGGGACCATAAGAACCTCACTTTACTAAGAGTCTGGGCATGTCTGGAGGTCCTGGAAGGCTGACCCCCAAGTCGCTGATTAAGAAAGATGTATTCAACTGGAAAGAGGGAACTAGATTCGTGAGTTCAAGCCAAGAAAAATAGGTGTGAGTCAGAGGGCAGAGGTAATTTTGAATATAGTATAGTGTCTGCCTCTCAATATGTCCTCTGGATCATCCCTTGCAGAGTTGTGAATTCTTTATAGAGAGAGATAACTTCAATAAAGAGGAAGTATAAAGAAAAAAATTCTGATATAGTCTCAGCAAGACAAAGAGATTGGAAGGCAGTGCTGAGTAGTTAAGTGTGGATGAGGGGGATGACTTGAGCAGCCTTTGGAACATAGAACAGACAGGCTTACCTATGAAATGAGATGAGAAAACAGGGAATTGAGAATTAGAGATCTGCTGTATAGGAAGCTCTCCAGAGAAAAGAGGGCTTACTGCAATAGCTTGAACAGGATCAGAGAAAGGACAGACCTTAAATTGTAGCTTACAGGGTAGGTTAATGAGCATTGATGGATTCTCTAAGAAGTTTGGAGAGGCAGTCAGAGGTGTTTGGGGTAGGCTAGTGTTATGTAAATACCAGAGAGGACAGAGCCATAGAAATACTATTTTGCTATAGTAATTGATGATAGTGTGATACATAGCATTTGGGCTACTCACTTATACTACTCTCCTAAACTTCTGACTTCTGATTTCGCATTTAACTGCTGAAGCCTTAAAAGTGCTAGCTACACAGTGACCTTGTTCCTGTTACAATGTTCCATGTTAGGGATAAAGATCATTGCTGGGCACTGCCCATCTTCCAATACACGGATGCTATAGGACCTCAAGTCTCTAAACTTTGCCTAGTTTTCCATGGGCTTTCCAATCTTCAGCAATCTTTCCCAGTACCAGTATTCTGAGTTCTCATCTGATGAAACTTGAAAAAACTTTTTTTTTCCTTAATAAATTTCTCTTGCTAAGTATATTCTTATAATTTCAAAGGAATACTTACATACTCTAAAACCTGGTTCTTGTTTGTTATCTGAGAAGATAACTGAAATGCAGAAAAAAAATTAAAATTGAATATAAACATCACTCTTCCTAGAGCTTTTAGAAATGCTACTCCCGAGGTTCTTTACTTGACATTGATCTATCATCCAGTTTCAGAGCTAACCCTACCTCTTCAACAATGTCTTTGGCCAGAAGTTCCCAATTTCAGGATCAACAGCTCACAGAAACAAGGAGGAGAATTTTCATTCCCTTGTCCAGGGTAAGGCTCACCCCATTTTCTCTCTTCAGATGATTTAACAGAGTAAACATAGTTTTTCTTTAGAGGAATATTCCATTCTAATTTATAGAATGTTGTTGGGTCCCCAAGTCATGGAATAAAGCAAGAAAATATCAGATAATAGAGTTATTGTTGTCAGAAATTAGCCACTTTGGGAGAACTAGCAGAGAGTGGGTACTAGTAAATCTCATTTAGACTATTTCATGATCTAACATCCAGAATGAGTTGAAGACACGCCTGATCTGCTGCCACATCTTTCCTGCTATCAACTAAACTCAGCTTGAATTTTCTTAAATGTTGTACTTAGACACAACATACATATATACACACCCTGTATAAGAACAGCACAATACTTTTTTTTTGCAGACAGAGAAATCTAGTAAAAACAATGAATCTGAATCCTTAGGTACAGTTAAATGTCTGGGTTATATCACTTACAGGAAGCCACATTCTTCAAAAGAAATAGGTATGCACTTGTGTTTCATCTGCATAATAAAAAGCACCTGCCCATGTGGACTTTACTGAAGAAAAATTCTGATTTTTCGCTACAGAATAAACCATTTGCATGCAAAATAGAAAGTTATAGTTTTGATAATTTAAGCCTTCATCCTCCACACACACACCAAGATATATTACAATTAAAGTGGCAAAAACTAAAGAGAAGCTCTTAGAAGCAATAAGAGAAAAACAGCATGCCACATAGAAGGAAAACCTCATAGAGTTATATCAGCACACTTTTAACAGATGACATACAGGCCAGAGAATGGCACAACATACTCAAAGTGCTGAAATGAAAAAAAAGAAACCAAGAATTCTATGCCTGGCAAACTGTCATTCAGTTTTGAAGGAGAGATTAAGGACTTTCCAGACAAGCAAAAGCCAAAGGAATTCATCACTACTATCGATAAATCAGCACTGCAAGACATGGTAATTGGCCACATATAAGCTGAGAAGAACTAAATAATAAAAGCAAGAAATAACAGGAAAGGGGGAAAATACCACTTTAAAAATACTCAACAGTAAGTGTAGGAGAGCAAGCACCTACAAAGTGGAGGAGAGATTAGAAAATGAGAGTAGTACAAATTAACTAAAGATACAATTGGTCAAGGGACTTACATAACATAAAGATAAAAAATGAGATATGAAAAATGTAAAAAATGCACCCCCCCAAAGATGAATGGGTCAAGATGTCATATAACATGCACACATGCACACACACACAATGTAATACTACTCAGCAATCAAAAAAGATAAACTCATGCCATTTACGGCAACATGGATGGAGCTGGAAGGGCTGATGCTAAATGAAATAAATCAGAAGGAAAAATATAAAATATCAGATGGTTTCCCTTCTGTACAGAATATAGAGAAACCAAAGGCTCAGGAAAAAGAGAAAACTTGTAAACTGACCATAGATCTGAGGAATACAGCAGGGGAGGGAGAGGGAAAGAGATCAAAACAGGGGAGGGAAGAGCAAAAGAGACTATGGTGATGGGTCAAGGGTGCTATGGGGGGATCAAATATTTTACAAAAATGAACAATGATGTAAGAAAATGATAATTTAATTGGGAAATAAATGCATTTATATAATTTATATATAAATATATGTGTATGTGTATGTATATATGTATATATATATATATATATATATATATATATATATATAAAACATGGGAGAGAAGGATGCCATTGGCATTCACATAAAAAGAACCAAAAAAATTTCAAATTTGCAAGGAACAAGAAAAGATTTCAAATAGAAAAAAAATATCTGAATAAAAAGCACAATAATGGAGGTTTCATGTGCCCTAGTTTCAAACTATACTACAAAGCTATGATAATCAAAACAGTGTGGTATTGGAGTAAAAAAAGTCACATATATAAATGGAATAGATTCAAGAACCCAGATATAAAATCACATATATGGGCAACTAATTCATGACAGTGGAGCTAAAAGCATACATTGGAGAAAGAAAAGTATCTTCAATGAATGGTGCTGGGAAAATTTTACAGCACGTGTAAAAGTAAAGTAGCCCACTACATTTATACAATATACTGAAATCAACTCAAAATGGATTATAGGCTTAAATATCAGACCCCAAACAATAAAATACATAGAAGAAAACATAGGTAAAAAGCTCTTTGGCATCAGTCTTAGTGCTGTGTTTGTCTCCAAAATCAAGAGAAACAAAAGAGAATATAAACAACCAAGGACAACATGAAACTAAAATGCTTTTACACAGCACAGCAAAAGAAATAATCATGAAAATGAAAATGCAGCCTACTAAATGGGAGAACATATTTACAAGCCATATATCAGATAAGGGGTTAATATATACAATATATAAACAATTCATTCAATTCTACTACAAAAATTAAAAAAGTGGACAGAGGATCTCAGTAGACTTTTCACTGAAAAAGATATACAGGGGCTAACAAATACATGACAAAATGTCAAATTGCTTGACATTCAGTAAATGC